CTTACATTTGAAGACTTTAAGGAAGTTGCTTGACTATCTTGTTAGGTATTGTGCTTATGCAAAGTCATTTGCGTTTGGGTGTTTCTAAGAGCAACTTGTTGTTATATGTTGATTGATTGTTTTGTGTTGTAGGTATGATGCTGTGAGTTTTCTCAAGTTCTTGGATGCACTCAGGGTATTGGAGAGCTATCAATCTGTTTGGTCATTTGCAGAGTCCAGCTATAAAATGTTTGATTTTGCAAAGAAGCGAGTGTATCGTCTCATGAAGGCAAGTGATGTCAAGTCTAAAGAACATGTTAAGAATATAAAAAAGAGAAAGTCAAATGCTTCTGTAGAAGCAGGTAAGTGAGTGACTGAGTGAGTTTCAGTTTCAAATGCCGTTTCTCTGTTATGGTTGAGTTGGTGATGGAAATTGGCTCAGCTATGGAGCAAGTTTTTTCTCTGTTTTTGACCTCCGCCACACTCTATCACTGAAGTGACACATATGTTTTCACGATGTAGCCATAAGAGATCTCGCTCTAAACCTGATGGTGTTCCTTATGATCAATACAGAGGATTTTAGAAGAGACGCAAGAGGAAAGAGAGAAGCAGACGCTTTCTGAGGGTGACATGAGTGAAAACAATGGAATAGTTCTTGTGGCTTGCAAAGATGAACGTTCCTGCATGCAGCTTGAAGATTGCATCACAAACAAACAATCCACAAAAGGTCCACTTAGATTACTACAGTCTGTTACATCTTACATCATGCATTTCATTGACAACCCATTAGAAGCCTGTCCCTACTTACTTGGCAGTAGGCACAAATCTGTTTTCTTTGTTTTTCAATCTTTTGTCAACGATTTGATCTCTGATTCTGAATCTGGTGATGATAATATGGTCTAGGAACGGTGAAGATGGCGAAGTGGGAAACCAAGATTTGCATGTGCCTGGAATAATTCCAAAGGTTCCGGGACGGTTTTAGGTTTATTTTGGGAAACCAATAGAAACAAAAGGTAGAGAGAAAGAGCTAAACGATAAAGAGGGAGCTAATGAGGTTTACTTGGAGGTCAAGTCAGAAGTAGAAAGATGTATGGCTTACCTGAAGGTGAAGAGAGAAAGTGATCCTTACAGAAACATATTCACGAGGCTTCTCTATCAGCTCTCACATGGTTTCACTTCCGAAATCCCAACCTTTGATCTCCAAAATGAGTAAATTAACTAGTTGTACGGTAGCTCATCGTTCCAAAAAGACTAATTTTATTCAAACTAATAAAAAAAACCATGATTGATTCGGCTTTATTGCTATGTTCACAAACCGGTCTTAAGATTAATGAGTAAATTAACTAGTTGTACTGTTCTAGTCTTAATTTTTGAGGAATCAATAGTTTGTGAAAATATTGTACATTAACATGATTGATTCGGCTTGGAGAGAATTCACGGCTGTTTAAGTAATTCTTTTACAGCAGTGGAATTGTTCAGATGAGGATGATGCGAAAGGTGAGATGACTCTTGCAAGCATGGAAGAAGTTGTAAACAGGGAAGAAGATTCAGATGAGATTACTGATTATCAGAAGGTTGCACTTGCTTATGTACCTGATCGTGCATCTAAGATGATTGCAAGATTCAATTTCGAGGGCGCCTTCTTTTTGGCCCCAAATGCACAACAAGTGTCTTTGGCACCATGGATCTGCAACCATATCGATAAACCCCTGGCGGAAATTTCTCTGACCGTGCTTGTGTTGCTATCTCTTTTTCACCAACTTGTAGCTCAAATCCACATCGACATAGACAAGGGTCTGGTCAGACTAATTTATATGCGACATGTTGTGGAGCTAATCAAAGGAGAGCCGATGATGTTCAAGTCCATTCAAATGTGTTAGTCCGCGTTGTTATGTTGAAATTCATGCAAATTTGAACACATTACGAATGTATGATCATATTATTGGTAAACATCAAATGTAAACGTAATTAGAAACAAACACGCCCGAAATCATATTTACAAGTGACTAATGCGTTTTTACAGCGTTTGCATCAACTATGAGCTCGAAATTTCGGGTGGTCTGGTCAGAGAGTGGGACAACTCGGTTGCATAATAAATGCTCCGACACTCTCTTAAGACATTGAACAGTGTGAGTTAAGATCCGAAGATCGCAACGCTACATTTGTCTACGGCAACACTACATTTGTCGATGATGGTTCGAGTTTTTTTATCTTACTAACACGAGTTGGTTTGAATCAAACCGAACCATCTGAATTCAAATTAGATAAATCTCTCTTATACCGTACCAAATTCAACGACAACAATCAAACCGCGTTTCCTCCTAAACTGAAGTGAATTATCTGAACTGAATTTGGTATAGACGACAATCGAACCGAAATGTCGATCCCAAAACCGACATCGATAAAACAAGAGAAAGAGACGCGAAAACAGGGGGACCCGCGAAAACAGTGTTGTGTTCGATCTCTTGAAGAATGAAGATGAAGTTTGATCTACCGAGAAAACCAACGATCTCGGAATTTTCTGGTCAATGGAGATTACCACAGCTCGCATTACCGATGGAATCTGTCCCATCTTCTCCCCACCTTCGAGAAGAGCTTACAATCTCGATTTTTCATACTGTAAGTCGACCAAACAATTGACCTCCGTCGCGTATGATCGGCTTACGGATCCAAAATTCGGAGCTAGCACCAGAAGTCTCCGTCACGGATGGAAAGTGACGGCGACTGTGAATCCGTATTCGCATGCAGAGGCGGCACAGCCAGAGGAGCGGAAGAGTTTGACTGATTTTCTGGTGGAAGCTGAAGATTTCATGAGATCAGACGGCAGAGATGGAGGTCCGCCTCGGTGGTTCTCTCCGTTGGAATGTGGCAAGCGAGCTCCGGGATCTCCTCTTCTCCTCTACATACCTGGTGATTATTGTCATTTTAAACGATTTTGCTATTGCTCTTTGTCTGATTCGGACAATGTAACTCTACCAATTTAGTTAACAAGACTCAGAAATAAAAACTTTCAGGGATCGATGGTACTGGATTAGGGCTCATTCGCCAGCATAAGAGACTTGGAGAGTAAGTAACTGTTTGATTCCAACTTAGACTTTTTTTAATTTACCAAGAATTAAATAATCGTAGAATTGACTTCAAGAACGACTCTTTGTTTATGATCTCATTGTCTTTTGTTTTCATAGGATGTTTGACATATGGTGCCTTCACTTTCCAGTCACTGATCGAACCCCTGCTCCAGGTGCTTCTCTGTTGTCTCATTACCGTTTTGTGAGTTTGGAGTTTTGTAAACTAATCTAATGTGCATGAAACCTCTTTCTGCTGTGTTGTTTTATATCATTTTCAGACATTGTGAATCTCATTGAGAGGACAGTACGGTCAGAGTACCACCGTTTCCCTAATAGACCCATATATATAGTTGGAGAATCGGTTGGAGCCTGTCTTGCTCTTGATGTTGCAGCGGGTAACCCCGACATCGATCTTGTCTTGATTCTTGCTAATCCAGGTTTAAGGAGACTACTAGCTTTTTTGGGATTTTTGTGTGTAAAATCTCATAAAATGTATGCATCATGTCTTGTGCTCATAGTAGACTATGTTTGATGCCAGTCACACGTTTCAATAACTTCATATTGCAACCTCTATCGGGTCTACTTGAAATATTGCCTGACAAAGTTCCCAGCTTGATAGAAGAGAGTTTTGGGTTAAAACAAGGTCAAGTTTTAACTCTCAACTCCTTCTTGTATAGTTGTATATATATTGCTTCAAAGTCAGGGCTAACGGTGTTTTTATTCCATAGGTTATCCGTTTGGGGCAATGTTGGAGAGTATGCTGAATGAAACTAATGTCACACAGATGAGTGGAGGGCTCTTAGGAGACTTCTTTGCAACTTCAGCAAGCTTGCCTGTAAGACTCATCTACTTTCGGAGAACAAATGATTGATATATGCATGTTTTTTTGTTGTCTTGTAATGCGAACAAAGTTATTTTACAGACTCTGTTTAGGATCCTTCCCAGGGACACACTTTTATGGAAGCTTCAACTACTTAAGTCTGCTACAGCGTCTGCTAACTCTCACATGTACACAGTCAAAGCCCAAACACTGATACTTCTGAGGTTCATAAACTTCTCTGTTTCATCATGAATTAGAAGTAGAAAGAAGTTCACTTCCGGAAGCTGAGTTATAGTTTTACTATTGCAGTGGGCGTGATCAATGGTTACTGAACAAAGAATACATTGAAAAACTCCCTAGTGCACTGCCGAAAAGCGAAGTCCGTAGTTTTGAGAATAATGGACATTTCCTCTTCTTGGTAAGGTGTCAGTGATTCGTCATTTGCTTTGTACATATTAGAAAACTTTAAGATTATGTTACTCTCTATTGATCTATATTTAGGAGGATGGGGTAGATTTGGCGACAATCATAAAGTTTGCCTACTTTTATCGCCGTGGAAAGAAACTTGATTGCATTTCGGATTACATTCTGCCTACTCCATTCGAGCTCAAAGAGTTTGAAGAATCACAAAGGTAAGTCAGTTACTTGACTCACTATATCATCCATCAGAGCTTAGTAGAAATAGAATACTATAACTGCATCTGCTTCTGTTACAGATTGCTAACCGCTGCTACTTCTCCGGTATTTCTCTCAACTCTAGACAACGGTAGAGTAGTAAGATCACTTGCAGGGATACCTTCAGAGGGACCTGTTCTGTACGTTGGCAATCACATGTTGTTTGGTATCGAACTGCGTCCACTAGTAGTTCAATTCTTGAAAGAAAGGAACATTCCGTTGCGTGGACTGGCACATCCATTGATCTTTACCAAGAAAAGAGGCTCAAAGCTCCCTGATATGCAGATGTTGGACTCTTTTAGGACGATAGGCGCAGTTCCTGTCTCGAATATGAATTTCTACAATCTGCTTCGTTCAAAGGCTCATGTGCTTTTGTATCCAGGAGGTGCTCGTGAAGCCTTGCACAGAAAGGTAACTAAATGATTGTATATTTTCCATATTGTTAATTTGTGAGGCTTTACTTTTAACGTTAAAAACACACATTTCTCTGCAGGGTGAAGAATACAAGTTGTTTTGGCCAGAACATTCAGAGTTTGTAAGGTTTGCCTCTAAATTCGGAGCAAAGATCGTTCCTTTTGGCGTTGTTGGAGAAGATAATCTCTGTCAAGTAAAGCCAAACCTCTTCGATTTAGTTTCAGTATCTGCAAACTTTTGCTTCAATCGGTTTTCGAGTAAAGTAATTTGATGAATGGAATGGTTATTATTTCTCAGATGGTTTTGGATTACAATGATCAAATGAAGATCCCTTTTCTCAAGAACCTCATAGAAGAGATAACACAGGACACAGTTAAGCTGAGGTATTTTAAATTGAACCTCTTGTCGACACTAGAATACAACATTTGTTCTGCTTTTGAAATATGGTTTGTGATGATAATATGGTTTAGGAACGGTGAAGAAGGCGAAGTAGGAAACCAAGATTTGCATGTGCCTGGAATAATACCAAAGATTCCGGGACGGTTCTACATATATTTTGGGAAACCAATAGAAACCAAAGGTAGAGAGAAAGAGCTAAACGATAAAGAGAGAGCTCATGAGGTTTACTTGCAGGTCAAGTCAGAAGTAGAAAGATGTATAGCTTACCTGAAGGTGAAGAGAGAAAGTGATCCTTACAGAAACATATTCCCGAGGCTTCTCTATTACCTCTCACTTGGTTTCACTTCCGAGATCCCAACCTTTGATCTCCGAATCCATTAAGTTATATCTATAGTTACTAGATTTGTGTGGTAGCACTATTTTACAGTATAAAACTAATTGTATTGTCGCTCAAAAATACTAATCTTATTGTGGGGTTCAAAGTTCAAACTAAGTAAAAAAAAAGTATACTTGGGTTTGTTTTGTAACATTCAAAAGTGTGTGGTTTTAATGAGAAAGCTAAGATACAATGGGTCTTTATGTTGAGATTCATGCAAATTCATGCAAACAGCATCTAACATGGTCATAATCATTCATGGAAACAAAAGACATGTATCCGTGTTTCTTATCCGCACTGTCTTGATGAAAGGTAAAATCATGTTCCTATCTGAAAAGAGAGGACTCCTATGATCTTATTTGTTATGCAGGAAAATTATTAAATTAATAAAGCAAAAGACTTGATTATTCACTAGTCTAAGATTTTGGTTTCTCCGCGGCCTCCTCAGCATCATCAAGCGTGGGGACTCCTCTGGCTTCCAAAAAATCGCTTGGCGTCAACAAGCGTGGGGTCTCCACTGGCTTCAAAAACCTCTTCTTTCTTCCGACAGTTTGAGATCTCACCAAGCCGGACGGTTTGAGATCGCTTGGCGTCACCAAGCATGGGAAATATCCATCTTCATTAGGTCTTCCAAAAAGAAGGTCTAGATAAGCTTTACGCCTACCTTGAGCAAGTTGGCGAACATAAATTTCGATATACTTTCGCCTGAGTGCTTCAACCTCATTCTTGTACTTGGATTCCCTAGGAGACGATGCCATGACGATGAAAATTCAGAAAACCCTAGACGGAGAGCACAATTCAGGCATCAACTGTAACACCTATATATTTTATACAATCTGCAAATTAAAAAATGGGCCAAAAAACATCTTCTTTACCAATGGGCCCAAATTTTTAAAACACTACCTCTCTAACTTTGCAATTTACATATCAATCAGACTTCCACATACTCTATGTAACAGAAACAAATAAACCACAATCTAGCTCTTGAGAAACACGCAAGTATGAGCAAGAAAGTGATTCATACAGCAAGAAGCTCTCTTCCAAAAAAAAAAAAAAAAAAGAAGCTCTCTTCCATCCATCCATCCATTTTGCTCTCTTACTTCTTTTACTAAATCAGAAATGATCGGTATAGTTTCTTCTGTTTGTGTTGGTTGGTTCATGAACCTCTTGTTCGAGGACAATACTTGTCTCTTTTGCAAAGCAATAGCTTCTGGACAGTGCAGAGATTCTCCGGTCTGTTCATAAACAAACCAGATTTACGTTGTAATGTGAGGCAAAAGTGAGGGAGAAACTCATGAAGAGAATGACACATAAGAGCAACTTTTCTTGCATTGTTTTCATTCCTCTGTGTCACATAAACAAACAATTGCATAACCAGAAGAGACCAACAGATAAACCACAATATAGCACTACTGAGAAACAGCACCCGGAAGTATCCAGCAACTGATGAGCTTTGCAGGATTTGATTTCATAACGCACAAGATATAAAGGGAAAAAACGTCCCAAAGGCAAAGACTTCATTATTATTATTTTTGTAGTTCCGGAAACAACTTAGAGCAGCAAGGATCATGTTCCTATTAGAATAGAGAAGACTCGTATGATCTTCTTATTATGCAAGAAAATTAAACAAAGACTTGATTAGTCATTTACTCATTAGTCTAAGATTTTGGTTTCTCCGCCGCCTCCTGACACCATCATGAAGCATCTTCTCCACTGGACATCTTCTTTCTTTTGGCGTCCGCGTCACCAAGCCTGCAGGGCCATATCCATCTTCCTTAGGTTTTCCAAAAAGAAGGGCTAACAAAGCTCTACGATTAGCTTGAGCAGCTTCGCGATCACAAAATTCGCGATATTTTCGCTTGATTTTCTCCAAGTCGGCCGCCCAGGTTTCTCTAGGAGACGATGCCATGATGAAAAAACCCTAGACGGACACCACTAGCTAATATAACAAAATCGAAACCCACAAAAACCTAAGAGAAGCTAATCAGAAATGCATATTGACTTGGAAAGCTGGCTTCTTGTGTTATATTTAAGTATGATGAGTGTGGACGATTAGCGTTAATCTTTTAGTTGTAGATATTGTAACTTTTGGGGTACATTTTTAGCAAACATAACAACAAGATATAAAAACTTTAGATTATAAAATTCAGCGAATACCGTAACATTACAAACTGAAATCGAAACTAAAGATTACAAACTGAACAAACTCCGAGACCTTAGAGTCACCAGCTGAATGAATCCTTAGACTTGTCAATGTTACTTTTGTGTGAACTCTCTATGTCTTCCTGCACACATTTCATCAACATAATATCATCCCTCTTCCAACATATATTTCTACTATGATTATGCATTGATTCTTAACCTTGGAGAACAGCGAGAGATTTATTTACCTTGCAGGACTTTAGTAGAGGTTCAAGGAAGGAGGATCTGAAGAAACTGACTGATTTCCCAAGTAAACTTCTCTCTGACTCTGCAGGTATCAAAAATAACTCAAGAATTAGTTATGCTAGGAAAAGTATAATCCTGAAAACATTTGAATATTGATTAGAGTATTCAAGAACGTACCATCATCATCATCCACATCCATTTTAAGGCCTCCTGAGTTAATCTCTTCTATAAGCTGAGAAAATCGTTGGGAAAAAGGAAATACAGTACTATAAGCTCAAGGAACAATATCTTTGTGATGATCCATCCACACTCGAATGTATCATATTGTCTATTGTTTTTACCTGTGAAAGTGTTGGAACTGCCAATGGATCAAACTCATCGCACTTCTTAGGGTCGATAGGCACACATACACGACCTGAAAACCACAAGACATTTCATAAGAATTTGAGCTCACATTACATATGTTGACATGATTGTGAACATGATTCTTATACAACTGGTGTAATATACTCGAAAATCAGCAAAAAAATACCTGTTTTTGGATGGACACAGAAGGGTGCCTTAAGCAGATGGTTCATTTGTTTTGAGACCTGTAATTGACCAAGGAACCATACAACTAAACAGTCACTTAACTTGTCAAGTAATGTCTCCCAAAACTGTAGCATACAAGATTATAAACAAACCTCCAAATCAATTCGAGGATACGTAAAGGTGAAGACAATTTCTTCTACGCACATCCGCAGTGATGGAGCCTAAAAACATTGGATAAGAGATTAAAAGATGAGCAAATCTCTAGGATTCAAGTTCATCAAGCTAAGAGCTGAGTGAAACACAAATAAGCTTTTCACAACTCTTTAACATTACTACACACCTTCTGTTTCTTGGAGTAGAGCGTGTTTTTAAGCTGCTCCCACCTTGCAAGGCTAGTGGCTTCTTCTGATAGGGATGATCTAGCAGCATTCTCCCACTTTTCTCTGAGCTCTAACTGAATATCTGTTGTGAAAATGTAAGATCATCGTAAGTGACCAAACTAAGGTTAGTACCTTCTCATATACATCATCACACTTGCCATACCTTCATCTGAAATCATCTCAAGTATCTTCTCATACTTTTCTTTGCTTGAGAATATACTTTGATTTGCTTGTAGCTCGCCCTCAAAAAAATCCTTTAGAAAATCCACATACGACCTCCTGAAAAGCCAAAGATGAACATTAGTAGCAGAAAATAGAGAATTTCATCGAATCAGAAAGAAAGGCAAAAAGTGAATGGAGAAACTCATACGCAAGGAACGGATGAAGAGAATGACCCATAAGAGCAACTTTTCTTGCATTGTTTTCATTTCCCTTATAAACACGGAAGTATTCAGCAACTGCTGATCTTTGTTCATTAGTCAACCTGCAGGATTTGATCACAAAAGAGTTTAATTTCATAACGCACAAGATAGAAAATGCAGAAAATGTGATTCATACAACAAGAGAAACGAGCAAACGGTGTTAGAAATGAGTTCAGTAATTGTTTTCACCTTCGAGCTTTAACATCACAAACCCAACAGTGAACTCCGCGACGTCCACTGAAGACCCAGAGGATGTGTTTGAAACCAAAATCCTCTGCAAATTGGGAAAACCAAAATGAGTAACTATACGTTCTTCCTATAATAAGACCAAACAGTCTTGCACATTGGCAAACAGTAAACTACAATAAGTTCTTCACATTACATAGGCTATTGTTCTACAGTATTGACACACTGAATCTAATTCCCAAAATCAGAGGTATCTTTGCGGTACCTCTTAAGGAAGTATCAATGACTTTGATAGCAACTGTCATTAAAGGCCAACATTTGGAGCAAACATCAGCTCCTGAGCAACAGTATCTGACATCGTCATAATCTGTTATATCCTGAGAGAAACAATATATTGAAATTCAAGTAAAGAAACCATACAAAAAACACATAAGAAGAAGAAGAAGAAGAAGAAGAAGAAGAAGAAGAAGAAGAAGCATCAAAACCAATGGTTTGTATCTAGAAAAGATGATAAAACTCACAATATCAAAGACCAACTCCCTCTCCACTGGAGTAAACACATTGGTACCACTTTGTGCATAAGCATGTCTCTTATCTGGCTGCAAATATGAAACATTCAAAAAAAAGTTTCTAATCATAATCATTTTGACAAGCACATATAAAGATGAAGCTTGTAACAAAATGGGATATTCTCGAGATGGCTTACATCAACGCTATACACAGCGCCAATATCAATCTTGTATGGGAAATTCACTTTGATAGCGTCTTCCATAGCAGAAGCATTCTTGAAGGACTTATAGCGCAAATAAACATCGTTCTCAAGTGTAAACGAGAACTCTCTTCTACCAAAGTAGAATTCATCGCAACCAGGATGTTTCCCATCTACAGGTTACAATACATATTCATGATGCATCAATGGTCTATAGCTCTCTCATGTGTGTGTGTGTGTGTGTGTGTGAAAGAGAGACACAAGCAGAGAAACAAGTACCGTGTCCGTACGAAAGCCATTTGTGGATATCAGTGTAAGGAAAGAGCTTTCCTGCAAATATCTTATGAATTAGCATATTACTTTGAACGAGAGAACACAGTAAGATATGATTTTGCGAAGAACCAAATGTGATAAAAATGATATATATCATGCAGGGGCGTATCATCATCATTCATTACCATTCATCACCATTTGTAGGAAAGTATGAAGAGGACGCATTTGGCAAGTTTAAGCAGCAGAAACAGATCTCAAGAAGAAGTAGAAGACACTAATGGTGACAACAGAATCATCATGAATCACTACAGAAACTACGAAGCAGGGCTGATCCCATGGCCTCCCAAGAACTACACTTGCAGCTTCTGTAGGAGAGAGTTCAGATCTGCTCAAGCACTCGGAGGCCACATGAATGTTCACAGAAGAGACAGAGCAAAACTCAGACAGATCCCTTCTTGGCTCTTTGACCCTCACCACCACATACCGAACCCTAACCCTAGTTTTAGCTCTTCATCTTCAACAACACCAACTCATCTTGAGCCTTCCCTAACCAACCAGAGATCCACAACAAATCCTTTTTCCTCTACCCGGTTTGATCTTTCGGATAATACTACTAGCTATGGAGGTTTGATGGTGGAAAGAGAGAGGAACAATGTATGTTGCAGAGAGCTCAAGAAGAGTGCCATGGATTCAGGCCATGCTGCAAAATGTGAGATAACTCGCGGAGATCTGATGAACCAGAAAGATGGTCTCATAGGGTTGGAGCTTGCAATGGGTTTGAGGAATCCAACACAAGTTCTTGATTTGGAGCTTCGACTTGGCTACCTTTGAGTAACTTTGATTTGCAATTTTATCACAAAATTATATGTAAGATATGTAGCTGAGCACTGAGCAAGTTATTGTGATTGCATTTAGGCTAGTGATATTAAATGGTATTATTATTACAGTTTAAGTAGATGGAAGTCAGAAAAGAAAACTAAAGAGCATGTTCAATTTCTTTCTAAGAGTAAAGAAAGAAAATTGAAAATGTATTCAATAATCTATTTTCTGTATTTCTTTATGATTATATACAAAATTACAAACAATGTTTGCATTCCTTAATGAGAGAGCCAGTTTCATCTTAAAATGGATGTTTTTTTATCTTATTTTTCCACTCAATATGAAAATATTGATGTGTAAAAACACCAACATTTGCTTCTTCTTCTTTTGTTACTTTATTATTGGTGTTAAATCTATCAGTTCCAATCATCCCATATGTAATTTGTAAAATATGAAATTGTAATCCATAGATCTATATAGAGTTACGTGGAGTCGGAGCTATAAAAGATTAGAGAAAGTTGGTTGCATGTGTTTGTGAGTATTAAGAAAGAAAAAAGTGATAAAGATTGCATTATTATAGAGATGGGTTGATGAGACATAGACGCATGCGACAAAGTGGTACTATGAAACATATAAAGATGGATGATGAAAAATTGACTCATGAATAGTTAATGTTTTCATCTTTTACACTCACCATCACATATAATGCTTAGCTTTATATATAACTTTATATATGTGTAATTCTCATGCATGTCATGAATGCACTTCATGGTGTGTGTTAAATTGTCTGATATATAAAACAAAAATCGTTTTCCCTTATGATCGTTGCGATAAATGCCTCTATATTACTTCAACACAAATAGTTTATAGTTGATGAATAATTGGGAGTAAATGAGGAGTTGTGAATTAATTTGATGAATTCTTGTGCCTTTTATTTTATATTTGAAACGGAGTTCGTAAATCAAAATCTAGACAAATAGCTAAATATGCTACTTTCAATGACTCATATATATCGATAGCAAAACTATTACTATTAAATCAAACACAATATAGATGTCAGGAAAAAAAATCATCACATTATATTTTTCCATCACATATACACGTGTGAGTTGTAAATATGTAGTATTGTAGTTCAAGGATGACTTCATTCAATTTGGGGATTCGAAAGTAAAATATACATATACATGATAAAACCATTAATTTGAACTGTGTTCCATTTCATGGCTTGTGATAAATACATCAATGCTTTTTTGGGCTATGCCATACAACTCCATATCAACTATACATATGTACGTGCATACTGTAATATACTAGTTATGAATGTACAGAGTACAGGCAGATCAAGAGCCAAGAGTGTAGGAGACAAGATTATAAAATTAGAAAACAAGTGATGTGAAAAGGAAACAAGAAAATGGAATGTTTGGTCAATACATTTGGGATGTTTGTGGTTTCCCCATGAGCAAATTTAATCTGACATCTTCCATCTTTCCCAACAATTTTAATTTAATATACAAACCCATCATCACCTTTCCCTTTTTAGAATCTATCACTTTCCTCTCTAATCTCTATCTTCCCGATCAATTCTTCCCCTTTATATGAATAATAATAACAGTGAGTTTATTTGTGTTTGAGTGATGTGAAAGGTAAGAGATTTTTCATCATGCACCCTGATATTTTTCTTCTTCTTACAAATTTGCCCTCAAATCTATTATGCTTCTCACAACAGTCACCTTTCATTGTCAATTATACTCTCGCACATACCATGCATAACAGGACGTCTTTTAGAATTTAGTTAGTACTTCTAGATTTCTAGTAATAGTGAGGAATTGATTTGAGCAAACGATCAGATTATTTGGCTAAAACTGTAAAACTGATAGGATTTGTTTGTTAACTGTCCAATCACATTGACTTCTGTCTCCATCTTGAAATCACATGCTTATAGTTATGTCTTCTCACCGGTTCTTTCCAACCGAAGAATCTCTTTATTTTGTCTGAGGTGATTGATCTCGAACCGCGTGACGTACAAATGTGAACGTTTTTAGTTATAATAAAGTAAAGAATTATCATATTGAGCTATGTTCATCGAAGCACCAGTGGTCTAGTGGTAGAATAGTACCCTGCCACGGTACAGACCCGGGTTCGATTCCCGGCTGGTGCATCTTTTTTTGTCTTACAAAATCATTTGGGCTTTAACGGCCCATTTTTGCTTTTCAGTCCGTAATATTTGCCTCCATGCCTCAACCACCTGACTTGATTACTTACACTGAGAGAAATCAAATGACATAGGGCTGAAAATGCTTGACTAATTTCTTTGTCGAAACTCTTGTGGCTTATAGTTTGTTCTTCAGGATAAATTCTCAATGTTAAGGTTTATACCAAAACTCAAACTTTACAAGCTACTTATCCCTTTGGAACTATTTGCCCCATTAATGGAGCTTATACAAGAATACAGAATTAAACCGGATAAGCAATAACAGCCAGAGTAAAATTCAAGGAGAGATGAGGAGAGACTTGCCACTGGGAATGAGAGTAAGTGGTTTCTAATAGCTATAGTTTGTACTTTGTAGGTTGTAAGTTGTAACCATAAAATGGTTTTTTTCATTCATTTATTGCCTCCAACCTCTAATGGTAAATATTAGTATTTGCGTGAAGACATTTTTATTTATTGGGAAGTTCAGAAATTGAAATTTGTGAACGACGAACTACGTTTTCACTTTATTTTATTTTATTAACATTCGGAAAAATCGAGAAACGTCTCAGATGGTAAGTGCATGCAAGTATTAAACACAAAGAGACATTTTTGCTTAAGTCAGACGTGATGGAGAAACTAGACCTCCAAGTCCCAAGTGAGTATTTTTTATTTGGTTATTATGTAAACAAACAATCTTCAGTAAAAGTGGTCTTAAGTACCATCGGACTAAGAAGACCCAAAAAAAACATTCTTCAGTAATCTGTTAATCTCAACCAAAATAGAAACGCAAATTGAAATTATCTCAGTATCTCACCTAATTCGTGGATAAAACTCCATTATTTCTGATCCAGATTTGACATGTAGATGGAAGTTCTGGTTTAGTGGTCTTGAAAATCTTATCATGTTTCTTCACTGATTTAGATTAAAGCTAAATGATATTGTACTTATTTAGACTACATTGAACTACAAGGTTTTAACTGGTAACATACTTGCATGTTCTGACTTTTTTTGTCTTCTTTGGGGGATAAATTATGCATGACTAAAAGAACTGACAAAATCAAATATACTTTTTCAGCCGATAAACTTTTGAATATATATATATCAGCTAAGCTAGTTAATCCCGAAACATCCAACAAAATTAAAAAAATATGACCGTGATTAAACATAGTTCTTACGCAAAATAACTCAATTACTTGATCAAATGACGTCTTAGAAAAATGAAAAGATCTTTGCTCAAAAAGAAAAAAAATTGAAAAGATTATGCCAGTCTACATCAGAATGACACACCAACGTGTTTTGTTTTTCATTTTCCGCTTGATTAATAGGAAATACTGTAGCAAAGTTACCTACTATAATCATATCCAAGTAATATTACGCACACGAGCGCTAAGTGAGAGTCACATGCACACACTATCCTATTTTGCTTAGCACGATCTCTCGTGTACGAAATCCGTAAGTACATATATAACACATTATTAAATTCTGATAATCTCCTCAGGTGATTTCAATCATAGTCTGTACCAGCTACACACTCACTCCATGTAACCGAATATTCCTAAGCCACCTAAGCAGACCAAGCACAATCAATCAATCTCACGAGCTTTAGTGTTTTGTTTTGTCATAAAGGAGTTTAAATAGCTTATAATTACGTAATTAACAATTATACTACAAAATGGGCTCCAAATACATTCATGGCATTAGCATTTGTCGGTACATCTTTACCGGCATTAGCCGGTTTACCCGGTCCCTCCACGTCACGACAAACAGCAGCAGTTCCGATGTCCGGCGTTCGGCGGAAGAACTTATAAAAAACGTTTTCTCAGCTAAAATATTAAAGAAAGAAAGAAGATAGAACAAAATAAATTATCGATTGAGTTTGCTTTAAAGCTCCAAGGAGCAAACGTATCCGGGTATAAAATAATACGAGAAAAAGTGATAGAAGACCTAAGACCACCTTATTACTAAAGAATATGAATATTTTCCTGTAGAAATCCACGAATGAAAAGAAAAAGAAGTTGGACTAATTAAATTAAAATCCAATAATTGTTATAAAAAAAAAAAGATTGTAATCCAATAAAATAGAAGTCTCATGTTGCAGTCTCCATTATTGATTGTCTCCTTAGGATACAGCATGCGACCCTCCATTGTCTACCATTCACACCTTTTGGCTCACTCGATATATTTGGACATTAATATCTCACTTAATATCAATTGTGTAAGAAGATTGTTCTTTTTGTTATACAATGAAATCTTCTTATACACTTGCACATGTACTGTATATTTTTTTCTTTCTTACAACGACTTCATTGATAGCCATAAAGGTCTTAAACTACATGAGCGGCAAAAACACTTTAACGATCTCCATCACTAATGGCTCTAGTAATTTGAAATTTTTACATTTTCTAAGTGCAAAGTCAAACCTAAACTATGAATACAAGTTTTTAACTTGAGCAGAACGAGGGTCTCGCACGCATTTGCAAATTAGTCAATCAGATCACATTTTTCCAGACACGATCTTTTATCGATAATGAAATCAAACAGACGATAATGTGTGTGAAATTTAGACTATTCATTTAAAGTAAAAAATTTACGCAAAACGCGAAGGCCCTTTAACAGAAAAATTATACAAAACGTTGCAAGCAAACACTCGAGACCTCGATTATAGTCTACAGGCCGGCCTCATATTGTTTACGATTGTGGTTTATATTGGTGTCCGATTTAGTAAGTAGATATGTTGGGCAAAAATCGAAATGATTGATGGTTAGAATAATTACCAAACGTAACTTGTTTGCATGCGACTCTAATTACTTACTGAAGCATA